CCGTTCTGCTGAATTCCAAAAAGAATTCCTGTCCAACGTGGCTTTCCACGACCCCTGCGGAACGCACTCGACCAACGGTTGAAACAAGGTCAAGACTCCCAGCCTCTCAGAAGTGGAAGGAGGCAAACTTTGTAAGTCGAGCTCGCTGAGTTTCACTGAGTCGCATTTGGGAGAGTCGCGCCAGCCCGTCGCAAAGGTATATTCGGGCCACCCGGCTTGACTGCCATCTTCCGAAGAGCAACGTTTTCTCTAAGCTGCCGCCTTCGTCAAAATGGTGGGTCGCGCCTCCGCGACGGAGCGAATAGCCCCGGAAGCCATGGGCCTGGAGCTGGAAGTGCGCCAAGAGTTGGGCCAGCCTAGTCCTGAAAGCCTGCGGTGAATGGTTCCAGATGGGCTTGTGCCAGTCCTTTTCTGGGATCCAATCCTGGATCAAATGCAGGATCATCAAGACACGCTCGTCATCGAGGCGGATGAATTCATCGGCATTCTTGGAACTTTTGGTGTCAGTGAGTCGAAGTAAACCATGAGTGGGTTTCAACAAGAAATCCCGAGGAGAAACACCAAGGACCTCCCCCGTGCGTAGACACGCATGAAACCCCAGCGCCAGTATGGCGGCCATTCGGGGCTCACGCGAGTGTAGGCTGAAACCGATCAGCCCCCAAATGACCAGAGGAGGGAAAGGTGGTGCCCGGCTGGGCCGTTCAACCTTCCGCCACACCTTGAAGAGTGACCAGGATTCTGGTGTTTGGTGTTTGGCTTGTGGAACGTAATGAGAAAGTCCACACAGTGCGTCGGAGATGTGGCCAAGGGGTGCACCGTTAGACCATTGTGCCTCAATCCAGTCAGCCAAGCGCATGTCCAGATCATACCAGCTTAAGGCCTGATTCAAAATGAACAGCACAGCCTGCAGACCGGCATAGTAGCGCCGACGTTGGGCGCGCCAGCGAGTGGCCTCACGAGAACTTGCGGGATGCTTCATCAGTAGGGTTATCTAATGAAGCCACATGTAGGAGAACTGGATAGATTTGAGCCAGTAAAAGGTGAGCATTGAACCGACGAACTAACGCCTCGAGCTTCAGCGAAGAGGTCCGACCCTTGCTTAGTATGGCAATAGTGACGTAGGAGTCACTGCAATGAACCCACCGCAGGTTGAAATGCACACGGTCCCTGATCAACCAACACATCGTGTTAAATGCTTGCCGCAGCTCTAAAGCGTTTATGTGTTCGTGGACGCTCCACTTGTTCTGGAATTGCAAGCGCCATTCCCAAAGACAACTGGGTATGGATTGTCGGAGGGCCTGTTTAGGGTTCATCAACTGACCAGTAATGATCCGAACGTCCGAAGTCGTGTGGTTGGTACGTTGCAAGAAAACCCGGTTGAGCTCAACCAGAGATTCTTTGTCGGGGAGAGGCCCCTCTGGAGGGCCAAAAACCAAACGCCTGGCAATGGGCGCCAGTGTTGGCCATCCCAAACAAACCCCGGGAGCCATTCCTAACCGACGGATCAGGCGATCGACAGAGAACTCTCCTGGTGACCAATCAAAGGAACACGCTAAAACCGCCGCAAACGAGAGCATGCAAAAACTATCTCCGATCAATGAGACCCTGGCATTCTCATAGCTCCCCAAATCTGATTTGATTGCAGTGGCCCCCCAGCAGGGACCCGTGTGTTCAAAACCGAAGCCCATGATGAGCTCTCTCTCTCAATGGATTCCAGGGTTCTCCAACGACCTCGTGGTAAGGCGGGAACTTAAACTGATCCGCGTGCCAACGACCTCGGGTTCCTTCGTCACAACGGGCCAACCCAACGGGACGCGGCGGCGGCGCACGGCGGGGGATTGCTTTCATAAAGCAGGGAAACGGGCCTGCGTCTGCCCCTCCTCCCCGCCGCCAGCCGGGCCTGATCCACTGTGCTGCCTCGACACCTTGGCCAGTCATCTGTAGCTCCGTGAAGCCGTCCCTTTCCACGAACTGCAGGCCCTCGAGAGGTTTCGGCGGGAAGCTGACCCACGCGAACCTCGGCCGCGAGATTGGCAGCACGTCACGGGGGTCCACTTTCCAAGGTTTTCCGCCTACCAAAGTACTTATCTGGTTCCTAGCTTCCACGTCCATGGAGGAGACGTTCTCATAGATGTAGTTTATCTTCACGCAAGGGGGAAACACGTCTCGGATCAACCTTTCCACACGGAGAGCCTCAAATAACAAAGAGGATTGTGAACCTTGCAGGTTGGAACGGTAACAATTAACTGCACTAAGATCAACACAGGGGAAACCACTCCAGATGTCCACCCGCGAGCACCCCGCGAACCGGATCGCGAGGGTCACCAAAGTTTCCCTTGTGACTGACCGGATGTCTCCGAGGTTGCTGGTGTTCGGCCAGCGCCTGTCTGTGACCCGGCATGCTTCTTTGCTGATCTCTGAGTAGACGGCGCCTTCGACCACTATGCCCAGCAAATCATACGCCCTAAAGGCCCCTCCTATACCGTTGAACAGGGAGATTACCAGAATCCGCTCCTTTCTCGGGGTTGAATGTGGTTGTACACTTTGTCTCAAAAACTCTCTCCCTTCCAAGGTCAACTCACGTGCGATAGCTGTGGCTCCGCCAGTCTGTGAAGCATCCGAACAGGTGACCACGTCAGCGACTTCCGCCGTGAGGTCTTGTTTGAACAACGGGAGAAGCAACAAAGCATTGTAAAGTTCTCTTCTCACTACCGGCAGCAGTGTGCGACGGAGGGCCGGCTTCGCGATGTACTTCCAAACGTGAGTGAACACGGACATCGACGGACGGCGAAAGGACATCAAAAACACGACACGCCCTACAACAGTCTGAAGGTCCTTAACCGAGAACTCCGAACAAAGCAAGAAGAGGATCAGCTTGGCGGTCTTCAGGAGACGCAGGGGGGAACCTCCAACCATCTTATTATGTCCATCAATGAAAGCCCCAAGTTCAGTTGCTTGGGTTGCATTCTGGACCCTCTTCTTTTCAGAGCTCACAATCCCTATGCGCCCCCACACTTGCTCCGCCGCTTCATGCCACCGTTGCCAAGCATCAGGATTTGCTTCGGTCTCCTCATAGTGGTCCCGTAGGCGAGCTGAAGCGAAGTTATCGAGATAAACCTGCCACCAGTCTCGGTGTCCGGGTTCGACGAAACCACTAAGACCAACCATCCAGCCCGGGACCGTTGAGTTTCGGGAAATCTGATGTTCTCGAGGTAGGTTGGCCCTTTCCATGATCCTCGACGACGCCTCTTGCATAAGGGACACCGAGGAGTGCCAGCCCATTGGGAGCACTTTGCAACAAAGGCAGTGCTCCCCGCCGGTCCTCCCTGGGAGTTCTGTCCCGTCACACCGAATGTTGAAGCTTAGGTATCCCCACCAACACCGTGGGATCGCGAATAGGTAAAATGCTGCAGTCATGTCGGACTGGGACGTTTCAAGCACCTCCGAACCTGACATTACTATGGTTGACCAACTGTGGATATCTGGTAGAGCACCATGTCCTGCTTCCAGTGGGAAAAACAGCCTATTGCAAGGGGTGAGATTCATAATGGTACGCAAGATCGGGAGTCCAGAGTCCAAGTGCGCTTCCTTCTTAACTCCGAACATACCGTTAAATAATCTCTTCCCCTGAAACTCGAACACCTCAGAGATGGGGATCCAGTCACAAACGCCCCTACTCACCAAGGTGTGGGCGATCGACAGCTTGTCAGTGTCCAACATGTGCAGTTTCGCCTCAAACTTGTAACCCCCAAAAAGGTCAGAGTACCTCTTCAAACGCTCAGGGGACCTCAACCAAGATGCACTTCCCTCAGAAAGATACTCCAAAATGTCAATCTTTCCTCCGAAGCCAAAAGGGGGAAGAGCAGGTTCCATTTGGGGGAGAGTCAACCTCTGTGCTACCTCAACCTCTTCCCCGGTGTAACTTACCTGGGTTTTCCTCAGCTCAAGCTTGCAATCATTTTCAAGCCAACGAAGGTCCTGGCGCGGTTCAAGACTTCGCTTGAGCGTCGGCCTCAACTGCTCGATGGCACTACGCTGCAAAGCGGTTGTCTCGCCGGCCGTAAGCAGCTCTCCGTGGCCGGCCATCAAGTTGCAGCCAGCGGAAGTGCAGAGCAGCCATGCCTCCTCGCCTCTCTCTTCGTCCTCAAGGCTCGACCGCGCATCGGGCTTCAAATCCACCCTGCGCTCAAGATGCGGAGAAAGACCTGCTACGAAGTCCGACAACGACTGATGCTTCAAACGTGTCACCAATCCAGCGAACTGCATCGCAGGGATGGGGATGAGCGAACGAGAGGGATGCTTACGACCACTCTCAGCCCGCCACTTCACGGCTCCAAGTCCCAACAAGGTCCTCAGCTCCTGTCCTCTTGAAAGATCCATGCACTGTACTGTCAACCATGCTAGCCCCTCTCCGAGGGCCTTCATATTCGTGGCTGCCTCCAACACCGATCGAACGCAGCCTCGCTTCAACTCTCTGCCTTTCCCGGCGGGGGCTCCTGACTCTCCCGCCAGTCCTTGGCTCCTCCCTTGGCCTTGCCTTTTCCTTTGCCCTTCTTGCGCTTTCCTTTTCCTCGCCCATCGGCGCCACCATACTCCTCGTCGTGCCACGCTCTTCCACCTTTGCCATAAGGCGACCAGCGCATGGGTTGTATGCCCTGCGCACGGTCGGCTATCTTGGCGAACTTGCGAGCCTGCAGCACCACGCTTGTCTTCGAGGCTGAGGTCGTCTCCAAGGGCTTTATCTCCAAATGCTTGGCGGCTCTCCAGCTGCCTCCGTCCGAGACCGACTGATGGATGGCCATGATCCGAGCCGCCAGCAGGTCGCCCATCTGATCCAGATGTCCGCCCCGCAGAAGATCTAGTGCCTGCAGGAGGCAGTAAACCTCCCGTGCTTCTTTCATCCTCCCTGTCATCTGGGGCTTCACGATCAAGTGCCAATACTTTATGGCTGAGACTCCTCCTACCACTGACTCGGGCTCGACCATCTCTCCTTCGTCTAGATTCTGCAGCGATTCGCGCATATGCTGCGCAAACAGCCTCAGCACCGAGCCCTTTTTCTTTTGGCTCATCCGTTCCAGCGGGGGTGTTGCCTTCTCCATTTCCACTTTCTCGATGTCCTCCCCGGAGGTGTTCTCTGAGCCACTCTCCGAGCTCTTGGTCAGAGAGCTCTTGCTGCGCTTGCCCTCGCTTGACTCCTCTGGATCCGCTCCTCCTCTGCTCTTCTTCCTCTTCCTCAACTCTCCCGATGCCTTCTTGGGTAGCTTCTTGACCCCAAGCCCCCGGGCAAGGGTTTGGACCAGGGCCATAGCCGTCTTCGTCGATTTGCTTTCTTTCCTCTCTTCCTTCTTCTCCTTGGGCCTCTTCGCCGCTTTGTTGACCAGCTCCGACAAAACCCCTCGCGGGGGCCGGTCCTTCTTCTCCGTCTGAACCTTCTTCAAAGAGCTCATAGTAGTGCCTTTTGTAGCCTCCCCTTCGTCCTCGATCGGCTCCACTGGGATGGGCTCCCGGCTTGCTCTGGTTTTCGCCCTGCCCAGGGCGCCCTCTGCAGCTTTGAAGTCGCCTGAGCGCTCGCCACCATTGCCAACTCCATCTCGCTGCTCTGGGGCCTTCTCGATGCCAAGCCGTCTCCTCAGGTTTCCCAGCGCATGACTGAGGGCCGCATTGGAGCTCTGCCGGGTGCGAGTGGTGTGACCTCCCTCTCGCGAAGTCCTCTCCTTCGGCTCGCCATGCTCCTCTGCCTCCTCGTCTCCCTGTCCGCCAGGTGCGCGCCAATGACTTTCGGGATCGGCTCGTTCGGCCTCTTGGCCGATGGGAGGCTCCGACTCTTTCCTCTTCCTCCTCAATGCACTGGGGCGCACGGGGGGGTTTTCCTCCCCAGCGCCCCTCCGTCCTCTGCTGGGCGACTCTGAACGATCTCTGCCTCCTTTTCCTCTCTTGCGGTCCCACTCTCGACGGCGTCTCTTGTAGGCCTTTGCGACCTCCTCGCTGACGTACTTCAACGGGTAGTCGGTGAGTGGATACTTGTAAAACGTCTGGGCGTGGGCCATAGTTGCTCCGACTGTGCATGGAGTATCTTTCTCTCGCCCTGAACAGAGATGAAGTCTCACCTTCTTCCTGTTGAAGGTGGTTCCCAACAAGGCCGTTTCCGACTTTCCATCTCCTCCCAAGCACGCCACGCGGAGGGTAACGCCAGAGCGATCTGCAAGCTCCACGGCTTCTACCCAAAAGACGCCACGAAGGATGCCGTCCTCTGCAACACCCTCCAAGTCGAGCACCTCGAGAATGTCTCCTTCTTTGAACTCCTCCGTGAACAACTCCTCGGAATTTAGCCTCAACTCGAATTTCCTGCCGCTCCTGTCGTCGGGTTCCTCGGCCGCCATCATAGATGGTGAACCCTCGCCCCCATGGGCGCTTGTCATCGCTCCTCGTTGGCCCTGGGAGGGGCCCTCCTCTCGTAATGCTCACGGCCCAAGGGGCGGTGCGTGACCCGCTGATGTCCGTCGTCTCGCTGTCTGGTGTGTTGCTGGTGTTTGGTGCCTCCTCGATGTTTTCTCTTCTTCACCCTTGCCGCTTCGTCCTCTGCCTGCTCAAGCTCCTGTCGCTCAGCACGCTCCCGTTCACGATGGCCTGGAGGTGGTCGCGGTGGAGTTTTGGGCCTCGGCCGAACAGCTACCTCAGGAGACCTGGCCCTCTTGGCCCGGGACTTGGCTGCAGTCGAGTGAGCTGCTCCTCGATCTCGGTCGTCGGCCGGCTCCTCCTCAACCTCCTCCAAAGACCACTCCTCTTCGGCTGCAGGGGATTTCTCGGCTCGGGGGAGGTTATCCTCCAGCCGGTTCCCAGCAAACCGCAATGCTCTCACCGCCCTGGCAGCCGCTACACAAGCGTCTTCGGCAATGACCCTCAGAGCACCAGAGTTCCAGCCTCGCTTGAGATCAGCAGCGAGGGAGGAGCAACCTATGCACCAAGAATCTCCTGCTTGCCGGGCCCCGGACCTGCACTTATTACAGGTCCTCGAAGAGTCCATAGCACAGCACGCAGGAGCTGACGAGCCGAACGGCCGAAGGAACTAAGGTTCAGGCAAAACGTCAAAGCAGACTAAATATGAGTGTTGATCAACCTCCTCCAGGTGTTTTTTTAACCTCCTTATCATCCACGATGATCATTTGGACCGAGAAAAGCACCTCAAAGTTGAACCCACAAATCGCATCCAAGTGGCATCAATGATAGCAGAGCCATCATCGTCCGCCTGGGAGGTTGATGAAATGCCAAGTGACCTGTGGGGTTTGAAGGTTGAATTGACATCATCTTTAGTTGATTTTGTCGCAGCAAATCCGGAGGCGAAAACGGGTCGCTGATCCATAATGTTGACCTCATAACACTAAATGCCCCGTGAATAATGCTAATTTTTTAAAAAAATATGAATAATAAATGTCCCCTAAATAATGATAAACTTTTTGGGATCTTGTTTTTGGGGCTGACTCCTTATTTTATATACTCTCAGCTGCTTCCAAACCTGATTCTGAGCTTTCAGCTGCTTCCAAATCTTGATTCTGAGCTCCAGGCTTCCATGTTTTCCTTTCATTTCCTTTTCTTTCCTTTCATTCTCCTTTCATTTCCCTTTCATTTCCGTTTGTTTCCCTTTCATTTCCTTTTATTTCCCTTTCATTTCTTTCCTTTCCTTCAATCTCCTTTCCTTTCCTTTCATTTCCAATTCAAATCAAGATTTTCTAGGATTTTTCTGGATTTCACACTATTTGGGGCCTGCACTTGATCAGGGGGGGGAGGGGGGGGTTTATTGTTTAGAGGTGGACATTATGCAAGCGAAACCTCCGCTTTCGGATTTTACCATCATGTTTCAACACTGGTCCCTTTTCTAGCTGTCCATCATTGAAAGGATGTGTTGGATCAATTGAATTATGGAAAGACAAATGTCTTGACATTGCCTGAAATACGTGTTTGAAGGAGCAGCAAGAGAACCATGAAAGCTGAACTTTGGGTTGGTTGTTTATACGTTCTTTGTGCATCTCTAGTAGTGTATAGGCGGAAGTGGACTTTTCATCCTTTCATCAAGCCCAGAAAAATATGACCTTGTCCTTTGTGTTGAGCACTTTAATGTTCACACAACAATCATAGAGCAACTCATCTGTCACCTGTGAACACGTGACTCTCCAAGATGGTCGAGCCACTTGCTGCGAATGCAGCAAACCCCCCAAAACTTGCTGGCAAAAAACAACAAACTCAAGCAACACTCCAGGATTCCTCCCTCATAGACTCATACTGACTCATAAAGAGTCGTATTGCCACATCTGGCTTGGCATCAAGCGACGTGGACATTCAGCACATTCTCATCAGCCTTGGATGAAGAACCATGCATCTGACAAGTCACCAAAAGAACGACGCAACATACGAGTGATCATTATTCAACTCAAAAACATCAAGCCGAACCTAGTGTGTGTTTAGGCACAGGTGGGCATGGGAAAATCGAGATCCTGCTGGTGACCGGGGTGGGCGACTCGCAGAAGAATATTCGTCCCACACCTGCACAGTCCATCCACAAGCTCTTCAGGTCGCTCTTCATGAAAACACACCTGCACACCTGGATGGACCGAGGTGTAGAGTCTTGAGATGCCAACCTCCGATTCTTCCCAAGCCGCCCACGTGGTGGCCACGACGGGGGGGACTTCAGACGCTGAGTCATCCCCTTCTTCGGAACTGTGACATCCCACACTCCCATGGGAGGCAAAAGCAACACTGTGGTGGTCATGTCCCTTCAAAACAGCGATAGTCTATCCTCACAAAGAATATGACAACCTTCACTGACAAAATATCTTCAACACCCGTCACACGGCTTGTTTCCGCCAGGACGCCACAGGTCATCCAGTGAAATCTGTGGACAAGCATAAAATCATATAAAAACCAATATAGGGTGATCTGAGTATCTGTACCAAGAACCACATTAGGTCAAGCCTTTCCAACCGGCTTTCACCTTTCCGGTCTCCGGTGCCCAGCAACGTTAATCAGCAAGGTGCCACCAGCGGCGGTCTGCCAGGAGACGTTGGAGGGGATGGAGACGTTGGAACAAAAAACGAAGAATATATACACCATTGGTAGGAGCCGTAGGACCTACCAATGGTCGTTGGTCCTGGAGACGTAGGACCTACCAATGGGTGCCTATACAATATATATTCTATATACATATACCTTGAGTCTCCAATGACCCTTTTAAATTCGCCTTTGCAAGAAAACTTGAGGTGTCTATCTCTCTCTCTCTGTATATTATAGCCTCTTAGAGGTGGTTTGTTTGTGTCCAAAAGACACCTGTTGCTGCCATGGTTGCCATGCGGCCTACGTGGTCTTTCCACTCCTTAGAATCACTCATGACTTAATCTGAATAACAAACAGGTGGTAACATGCTTTGAAGAAACCATCAACGGAAGTGATGGGTTGAACCGGATGGATCGAAGGTAAGGCCATGGCCCTCAAGCTGATGAACTCTCCGAAGTCCATCTCTTGCAGCCCTAAAAACAGAAACTTTCACTCCACGTATCGCCACGCAGCAGCGCAAAAGACGAGGGCGCTTTTGTGTCGCACCCGCTTGTTACAAAAAAGAACACTTGAGAGTGTGTCGCACCCGCTTGTTACAAAAAAGAACACTTCACGGGACTGGCATATATACTATATACCTACCTACATTGGGGTGGTTTCAAGGGTCAATTATATTCCACACATAGAGCGTCTGGGTATAAAGAAAGGCCTCCTATCACATTCACCGGATTTCCGCTGGATTGGTAAAGACTTAGTGGCCTAGACTCCAGCCGAAACCTTGGCTCCCCCCAGAGAGTGTGCTTCTTGGGACTGCCACTAGATTCATCAATATGTAATGAATGATCATTAATTTTCTTTATAATTTCACACTGACATTATAATATAGTACTAGTACTAGTACTAGTGTTACTAGTATATTAGAATCATAACTGATTCAGAACTGCCAATTTACTGGGCTTTCTCACTTTCCATCTACCGCTCCCCGCATCTTCATCTACCCCTCCGCCTCCACGGTCGCTTCCTGCACCTCGCAGCCCAGGGTCACCGTGCAGTGCTCGCCAACCTCCACGTAGGCACGCCCGGCGAAACCTGGCTTGGGCGTGGATCGTCGTTTATCACAAGGATGAGGATCAACGCTACACCCGTTTGGCCTACCGAACCTGGTGGGTGCCAGGAGGGTCCAAATACCTTTTGAGGAGGTACTTGGAGGTGTAGGGACAAGGATTTCCAGGAGTTCTTGAGAATGATAATGATGAGGAAGGGGCCAGCGGCTCAATGTGGCTGAGGCTGATGGTCAGTTTTTGCCATGTCTTCTTAATTCACTCAAAAACCAAAAAAAAAAGCACATCCTCTGTTGGAAGCCCAGTAAACCGCTGGCCGTGCCCGGAAAAGCACCAGTCACAGGCATCCTCTTCAGTGAACTGAGTGAAACCATCCCTGTCATCCCCTGCCTGTCAACACCGTGATGTTGGCACCGGTGGAGGCCATGAAAAAGGTCGACCTTCCAGCAATCAGGTGACCGGAGGTGGACAAGGCGTCGTACGTTGGATTTCAGGAGCGCTCTTGGTTTTTGGGGATCCGGGATACCCAAATAACACGTCCACGAGTTTTCCAGATACTTCCATGCTGCAATCATCTACAATCCAACTGTGAGCAGGAGTGTGAGAATGATTTTTCTATTACACACACCCATCTTGCCCAAGTTGGTGCCACAGCGACCGAAAAGCCTCACGATGATCAACCACCCTATCCCTCAACCATCATCTTCATCCATGATGAACATGCAGCCATTCCATCTCCTCAGCCTGTTCACATAGAAGCATTGTTTTTTCTAAGCATATTTACACTACAACACCAAGTCAACCAGTTGTTTAATCCAAACTGGTTGAACCCGACCTGACCTGACTAACAAACAACTGTTCAACAATGTACCTGTCGGATGCTCGGCACCTCTCTGCCCCACCTATCCGCCTGTTCAAATTGAAGGTGTCGAACACTTTCGCCGTCAAATTGCTCTTGGCATCCGCCAGCATTGTCCCAGTCACCTTGTCGACCACCACCTGAGCATGCACGGTAGGCTGGGCAACGTGTTTTGGGACCACACACTGCCCGTTGTTTGGAGAATGATCCAAACAGGAAGGAAACTAGGAAGGAAGGCAATCATGATGATCGCTTGTGATAGAACATGATCCCCAGAACCATTTAGATATTGGTCCACATGCCAAGTCCCTATTGAAGGTGGATAACAATCCCCTTGAAACCACCACAACCAAGTCACTACTTATGCACGGACCATGGCCACATACTGGCAATATCTAGCAATCTGTGTCCTACAAAAAGCTTCCACTGCAAATCACATCTTTTGCTGCACTCCTAATGCGGATCTCGTGTCAGACCAACCAATCAGACAAATGAAAGGACCATCACACGACCCTTCCACGGGGTAAACGCTCTGCGGCTCGTGAGGTTGGAGCTCGGCGGCGCAGAAGGCGCCTGTGCTCCGCCAGTGGTGCCAACCTCTTTGAGGGCTGAAGGCACCCACAACGTGGCTTTCTTCGCATTGTCAGGCCATTGGAAGTTCATCCTGGCTGAAGGCACCCACCACGGCCGGGAAAGCCGGTGAACCCACCCGGCGGAACAGAGGCGAAGCAACACCATCTGCTACAGTGCGACCCACATGAAGGAGCAGTTCCCAGGAAAGAAGGTCCTTCTGATTGACAAGTCTTCTGATTGCAGGTATTAGTGTTCAAAGGTGAAGATGATAGAGCTGGACAGGGCTGGACAGCGGTATTAGCAGCTCTGGAATAGCCAAAAATCACGGGTTCCGGTATCAAACACGTCTACTGAGTCAAACAGTGAACCCTTCTAGATGTTGAGACCCGTTGCAGAGTTTGACAAACATGTCATCACATCTTGCAACATGAGTTTCTCGAAAACAGGTTGCAATCAACAAACTTATAGTATTTTAGAGTTAATAATACTGCAAACGGGCTGCCCAGCCTTTTGCGACCGCCAGCAGCATCCTAGACCGGACCCTGCACATGTTGGGAACTTCACCAGTTGCGCATGTGCTGAGTCGCCTTCGACTCTTCAGAAGCTGTTTCAATTCGGTTCCGAGTCGAGCCAAGTCAAAACATGCACACACAATGGTTCTGCAAAAGATAATGGTTCTCGCTGCACTCGCTTCGACAAGACCCATCCACCCCAAGAAAAAGAGAATCAAAACCACCCCGATTGATCCCCTGCAGTATCTCACTCCTTCAGTTTCTGTGGAAAATCCAGGAAGCTTTTCTTCCACCGGTTGCATGTGGATGGGGCGCCCTGGGATCCCCCCCTCCCCGAGTTGCTCAAGAAGCAAGCTAGACAGCACCAGCACCAACTAGACATTCTACACGAACCCCCACCAATGTCTACGCGAACCCCCCACCTTCACCCTGAAAACCACGAGTCCCGCAGAAAAACAAAAATATCCCAGCGCCTGGCAGCACGATCATCCATACCCAGAAGCAACGTGGGGCCGAAGGTCATGGGCCTAAAAAAAGGGTGGATCTTCAAAGGGGTTTTTTGGTTTCTTTGTTGTTTGGAGGAAGAGCCTCTCTCCTAAAGAACCAGAAATAGAGTCAGAGGCGTCGTTGTTTTGGATAGTACAGATTCTTGGCAAACATGTGGCAACGCCATACCCAGACACTCCATGGGACTGCCATATATGATATGCCTACATTGGGGTGGTTTTCGGGGTCAATGTAGGCATTTTGTGGCATACATGGAGTGTCTGGGAAAAAAAAAATCCGGTGTTGTAGAATAATGATGCTATCGGGAAACCTCCTTAGACACAAGCTGTCCCACAAACCATGCAGCATGGTCAGAGGTTCTCCGTTGTCCCTTTCTCACGGCCGGTCTAAAACCTGCTCCAATCCTTTCCAATAAATCCCAGTCATGAGGTGACGAAGCCAATGGGAATGTCTTGGACTATAGGTGGCTGATTTAAAAGAGGCAGTGGGTTGGAGTAGAACCCAAAAACTCCATGGATAAAATATTTGCCTACATTGACTCCAGGTCAACCTCCTCTCCCTACCAGGTCTCTGAATCCCAAGACCTTTCAGTTCGATCAGGAAAAAGGAACACAGACTACCAGTCTACCTCTTTGGGGGCTATCAGCTATCAGCATGTTCCCTGTTTCGAACATATGTAGATTTCAGGTGCTATTCCTTACTCTTCCAGCTTTTCCGAGTGGTGCCTCAACTGAGGATCTCCAGCTAACCTCCATCTTCTGCCCGTGGCACCATCGCCAAGTCACACCACCATCGCCCGCACCGTCCAGCCGAGGCCGACGTCATCCGCCGCCACGGCCAAGGAGGCCTCACGCGATCGACCGTCGGACATGTCCTGAAAGTCGAGATGTCCAGGGTCTGATACCGAAGACCACGACATACCAAGACATACCAATGCACTTAGTACTTGTAAGTTGGTATATCAAGACCATACCAAGATACCTTCTCTAAGGCCCGTGGTATGATCTTAGATATGCTGATTGGGCCTTGTACGCGAGGCCGTTGGTCTTTGGTCTATCTTTGGAGAACCACATATTGACCCAGATGATGAGACAGTCCTGGAAACCCAACCGCAGTCAGCAAGCACTATCAATCGACTTGGGTTGGGATGCTCCCCTTTCAAAGTCCTATTGTTCCGCTCCTCAAACAGCGCGCATCCGCAGCAACCTTCAAGTACTACATCTACATCCCTTCATGAAAACATGAAAAACAAGGGAAACAGCATGGAAACCTTGTGAATAAATATATACATCGCAAGACATATATTATCATATATTATATATATGAAATGATATGATATGAAATGCATTGAAATCACGGTAGTGTTATGGAAAACATGTGACAACTAGCCTCCTTCAGCAGCTCCAAAGCGGCCCTCGCCTCACTTCGGCCTGGATCGGTGATCACTTCCACACTCAGCGGGGAGCTCACCTGGTTGGGCCGGAGCCGGCCTGGGTGACACCAGGGTCCAATGCCACATGGATGTGATATGATGCTCATAACAATTATGATGTATATGCAACATATTAGATATATATATATATGTGCATAATCTATGAGTATGTCACACGATGATCATCATAAGCTATCTAGGGTCGAATGATTCTAGTGTTTTCGGCAACGACGAACTTATCAACCCAAGCCCCCATCCTTTGATCCTTTGTCGAGGTGTCTAATTCGAAGGCATGTCACATTAACCACAACTTAGAGGACCCTGTCCCGCAGACCGTTTGGTCTGTTGGTATCAGCTGGTGAAACCGGTCTCGCACCGTCTCTGGGGCCGGTCTTCCTTGACGACCAGGACCAGACGTCGGCAACACCATGGAGGATCGATGAACATCAGTGACTGTTCCGGACGCACCATGGAGGTGAGCTGGAGGGGGTTGACCTCGAGTTTTGCCAACCCTTCATTTGAGATCAAGTCGATCGTCTTTTCCAATTTGGTTGATGCCGTTTACTAGCAAGAAAGCATGGAGGCAACATAAATATAATCAACAATTCACATCGGTCAAAAGAAAACAACAACAATATTGGATTGGTGAACATCAACAGTGTTTGACCCGGTGTTTTTGACACTGGACTCAAGAGTTATCAAAACTAGCAAGCAAATTACTTGCTGACTTACGATCACAGGACTCCAAACCAGTCAGTCTCTTGCGTGAAATCAACCAGAAACAAAAACAACCTACAAGTAAACAACAAGGGCCTGCCCCTGCTTTCAGGTGTAGAATTTCCAGTAAGCTCACTCGCTCGGCGCCTGCAGCCGGGAAAAGGGCATCAAGTCGCGTGCCCCTTGGGCCACGAAGACCAGGCTGGCAAGGCAGGCGAAGGACCTCGGGTAGACCGGTTGGCTGGATCGGTCAACAGGTAGTATTCACAAGTGTTTGGGAAACATGTTGAGAATGGTGAGGATTGCTTTACACTGCACTGTAGCTGTCTGTGCTGCTTCAAAGCCTTTCTAGAATTTTGGCATGTCTGGTTTGCACCTTTCAGTTGCGCAGTCCTGCTCCTCAGAAACGAGTGCACGATTCCCCTCAATGAGCAACAAACACTATAATTACATTTCACGATATATAACACAATATCAATTTGGGCAAGCGGCAAGTTAAACTTCAAAAAAACTGCGCAACAATACAAGTGCACGCCAAAAAACGCATGTGTTTTTAACACCGGTCTTAAGCATCCAAGCTCTTTCAACATCTTTCTCCATCTTAGGAGTCCACCATCTCTCTCCAAGCCTATAAGAATCCAGGGCCCTGAAACGTGACGGTTTTGAGGGCCCAAATCCCTGCCATGGGTCCAAATCAAACCAGTTCGAAGGCTCCATATAAAGGAAAAGGGATCGTCATCGTCCTTCTGCTTTTCCCTTCCCAAACCCCGCCCCTCCTTCTCGCTCATCTTCACCCAAGTGGCCGACTCATCGCGCTTTCACGATGGGTTTTCACGACCGTTTTTTGGATCGTCGGCGGATCGAGCGCGGAGCGGATGCGAATCTCGAGCCACGAGATTCCGGCGGATCGAGCCACGGCAGGCATCTCGACGGCCGCGGCGAGGCAAGCGGCAGCGAGGCAGAAAGTGGTGTTATATTATATGTTTTTGTTGGTTGAAAGTTTTGGAAGGCGTTTGTTTTTCTTGGAGGGTGAAAGGCCATCGATTTAAAGAGGGTTAAGGGTTGTTGAGCTACTAATGCCATGGCCATGTAGTATGCTCCAACAGGTAGTGAGTTGCGGGTCGGAGGAATCGTTGGGGCCTTAACAGGTCGCAAATTCACCCGTCGGAGTCGGAGGCTCCTGGTATGGATTCATTGACTGCTTGTGAGAAGACATAGCTCAATGAGGCTGAAACACCTTCATGCTTGGATACCAGTATAGACTCAAACTGGGAATCTAGCAACAAAAAGCCTTAGAAGAGCGCTCCTTGCATGGCATACACCAAACGATCCTCTCCTCTCTTCTCTCACCCAAACATGATACCCCAGAACCACCACTGAAGGTGCAAAGGGCAATATTTAGGTACCATGGAAGCTGAAGGGACAATCAGTTCGTGTTTCATACTTGTGGTTTTCTTGGCTCGTCATGCTGTTTCTGGACCCATAGAACAAGCGTAAACAAAGGCCATCACTGTCATCCATCTGGGAGCCTTGGCAAATTTACCTCATTGGTGTCATGAGTTCCCACTCAATCACACAGCCTCTTTTGGGACCACAGCGTTGGCGGGGCCAACCCAATAGCACCCCCTCGCGGACGATTTGGCTCCTCATGGACGGCCTGGATGGCTTTGGAGACATCATCCTGGTCCTGCCGAAGAAGCTCTGCTTTGGATGGGCGGATATCCAAAAACAATCATACCTCAAGAACCAAACACCCGACCCCCGACAAGGTCCAAGTCCAAGGGCACAGTAAAACCTTGGTCCAAATCCCGCAGATTGAAGCCTACCATAGCTGCTACCAGCTGCTACCATGGGGTCTCCGGGACCTTTCAAGAGCACTAGTGTCCAGCCGGATGGATTCCAAAGTTGAGCAAACCTTCGCCAAATTCGCCAGCCCTGCGATTCGGATTGGTGTCAGGTGGTACCTTGTGGCCTAAGTATAAGCATTATGTTTTCCCATTGGCCGCGACTCTCACTTGCAAAAGAGTCCTTTTTCGGATCTGCCACCAATTTGGTGCGAAATCAAAAACGTTTACTCTCTGTCTGTGCAATTCCAAAAAAAGGACTCACCATAGTCGCAGTACTAGGTCAATCAACAACCTCACGCCAGCCCAAACAGCAGTTGCTTGCTTCATGCAGATGGAGAAAGGAACAATCCTCTCAGATCACTTCTCAGATCCTATGCCAAGTAAAATGACTGCAGGTTAAAAGCGTGAACCCTTGTTGACCACAGACCAACAAACAAACCACCCGAAGCCGGCCAACCTACGCTCCGGGTGCGACCCACTACCGGTAGCGTCCTCTTGTTCCGTTCGGTTCGCGATGCCAGGAGCCCCTACAGAACTTCGCACCCGCAAAAGATCTCATCGCCCGGAATTTTCGGTGCGTGTGTCCATCATTTGACCTCCATCAAACAATGGTTTCTTGCTTGAACATTTTGGCAGGCTCCTGTGGTCCATTCAATCTGAAGAGGAGGGTGGCTTTGAAGAACCCAAACTAAGCCAAGCGGGTGCAAGAACAGGTAACACACACAGTCACTGTTGAAACCCAAAGAGGAACACATCTACTCCTAACCCCTGGGGGCGCTAAAGATGTATTCCGACACATCCAATTCTCACGCGCTGAGCCATCTCCTCCGGTTGAATCTGCAAGGTCTTTTTCAATGTCCTTGGAAACAGAAGAAAAACGACGGAGTGGGCGCGAGTGGGCGGCATGAAATCCGTTTCATCATGAATATATATTAAATATATATATATATATACAATATATGAAGAACATGAACATGGTCATTCAAACCGTGTGGGACACCAATCACAGGGATACTATTCACCTGTTTTCCTCCCTATAAGCCAACATAGAAGAAGAACACGATTGAATCTAATTGGAAAGCATAGGGTTGCATAGAAACAAATTGAAAAACATAGACATAGAAGCAGCACAAGCAGCAGCACTGTGAGCTCTTTTTATCAAGTCTTTCTGGTGTAAACTGTCTTCTCAGGAAGGGTCTCGATCACGGGCCTCAACCTCTCAACAAATGAGTCTGGAAGCACACCAGGGTCCTGTCCAACATAGATTCAATGTTTTTTTTCAATGAAAGCCAATGAAATAGATTAATATATAGGAGCTGACATAGCCTCAATAGTGTCCCTCCCAATAGTTCCCCTGTTCTTGGAGAAGACACGGTGGATGAAAAAGGATGAACAACAATAGAATCCGGTCATCATCCTTTCCCCGTTACAAACATCGACGATGATGACTCGCGGCTTCAGAGTTTTCATGGCAGTTCATGGAAGAAACCATCCCAATAGTTTGACCTACGAAAACTGGTCTCACTACAAATATATAAACATAATATTTAAATATATATATATATGCATGATATACAAAAATACAATACAATACAATATCATTCCCAGTTGACAGCCTTCTTCCTTGACCAGGCACTTTCCATGCCAGCTGTATGTTTCGATCTTCAACTCACCTGCATGTTCACTCGGCTTGCACATGGGCAACATGGCAGACCGGGCAGATGGGTCTCGAGTTTGAGGAGCGAAGTGATCAAAGAAGTGCCCTTTTTCGCCTTCAAAGAATGCCCGTTTAAACATAGTTGACCTGTTTTTGCCGTGATCGTCGTCTCTAGTATTCTGAATCTACGCTGTTTGGTCGCTCAGACTCCGGACGGAAATGTGCAGGTCTAAATCCATGCTAGAAGAATCCTTTAGATGGCCATCTTCCCACCAGGACACCAGTTGCCCCGTGGAACTCAATGAGTGAGCTGTCAAACTGAACAATACAGGTCCACAGTGCCGGTTGCCGGGGCTGGGTGCCGGAACACTAAAAAATGAACATATCTGTTCCAGAGATGCCCGAATATGTTCCGTTGGCTCCATCGTTCCTCTGCCGGCTCGCCTCTGGCTTCCTGGCGATGGGCTCCAGTCGCCGGGCAAATCACCAACGAATTGGTTGGCTACGCGGCGATGCCACCGTGAGATCAGGGCCGAAAGAGGTCTTTGGGGAAAGGGACCACCCTTTACCATTCCCAGTACTTGCAAGACAGGTTAAACGTGCCACGGCTAGGTAGGAGTAGCTTCCGTAAAGTACTCAAAAAGCCTGCACGTGAACATCTTGAAACATCGTTCAACGGAAACCAGCACATGGAAGATCTCAGATTTGCATCGGTCAGTTTGACCTTCGAGTCTACCCCTCCCTGGGCTCATCATGGTGGAGCGGCATGCCTCCGACTTCGGAGGACGAAATCATATGAAAACCGAATACCAAACAGGTGGTGCTGGTGCCATCCTATAGTGCTTCCAGGAAGGGTACCCCTGTTCAGACTTGGTCGATGTCAAGGACACCAGGGCGACCTATAGGTCTTGAAGGTGGTTGGATCTGCCTGCGTTCGGTGCCAGCGTTTTGGCAGTTTACCAAACCAAACAAAGCAATTGGCATAGACCTATGAACGTAGCGTTTCCCTTGCGAGCGTTGCAACCCAACGTCTATTCTTCGAGTCATGGAAGTAAAATGTAATATATAAGTACAAAACCATTGACTACTTGAGTCAGAGACTCACACATCAAGCAAAGGACCACTACCAAATCATAAATACTGATCCATCGACCACCCGCCATAGCTGAGCTGACCTAGCTTCATCGACCTGGATGAAAGCGGCCTATATACTTTGTAAGACTTAGTCCCCAAATATCCCACATCTAAACAAGACCTCTGTTGGCCACATGTGGCCACATAACATGGTCCATGGATTCTCTTGATGTTTTTTCTACGGGCCACGGGGGAAAGCTGGGAAAGTTGTTGTGTTTTTCGTGCAAAATCATGCCACCTCCGAGTTCCTTCCCTCTCATCGAACCCAAACCACCCGCATCCACCCGTCTACTGCAACGAAAGGAAGCTCAGAGTTTATGCGGCGTCGACGCACCACGGGGAGTCAACGCCTCATGCTGCTCACGGCCCAACGCAACGGACAGCAGGAGGATCCACAGCGGAAACATGGTCCTCGGACGCACCACGGACGCTGCCCCGACCCATGGGACACTTGATAAACTCTACGGTTGAAGGATGGGACACTATATATCACCATCATGTATCTGATGTTCGTGAACATGCGCTGCTAGTGGTCGTGAGCTATGGTTTTTGCAGCAGTACTGGAAGTGGCAACCAAACTATACTAGCATATATATATATATACACTAGTACTAGTAGTGTGACATGATTGCTGATTCAAACATTCCTTGCATGCATGCATGCCTGATCATACGAAGTGCAACAACTGCAGATCTTCATGGATTTGTCTCATTCATATATGGCTATCAACAACTAAGTACAATTTGAGGACTCCTCATGAGGACAAAATGCTAATATCTGTTTGGCTTCATCTCCCTGTTTCTAGTAAAAGAACATTGCCGAATTGGAACTAGGTTCGGTAGAAACTACAGAAGGCATGGCAGTTGTAAGATTTTGAAGTAATTCCACATCAGCTGGACGACAGTGATATTTTTTCTCAGATTCGGCCAATCCAGCAACTACGATCCTGAACACTGCCCCACTCGCAACAGTTGGGCCCTCTTCTATGATGTTCCTATGTGAAAGATTTCTTCTCTTCTTTGGAACTTACACCTCGATCAGCAACACGGCCTCCGTGTTCGGTTTTCTCCAAGCTGCACGCACCGAGACAGCTTTTGCGCCCCGACCCTTGTGGTTTGTGAGCCCAAAAAAAAGACCTTCCAAGCAGCAAACCAAATGTTCTCTAGAAAGGCAAATGCCAACGCGTGCCCCAATGGGCTGGGCTGGCTGTCTATGCTGGAAAATTGTGATGTCTCCAATCTATTCAACGTGTCAAACCTACCTAGCCTCAGCCTATGCTACCATCTGAGGGTTTGCGTAGCAAGTTTTCCACAATAGTTGCATGCATTTACCCAGACGACGTATTCTAGCCTCATGGATGTTCAATGGTCAAACCCTACCGGTCCAAAAATCTTTAACTCCACCGGTTCTGAGTCATACAGAAACATGTTTCATTGGAGGTCCAGGCCTGGTCAAAGGATCATTGTCTTCTTCAGCTCTTCGGAATCCCTCACGAAAAAAAGAGGTAGAACCTGTTTTCGAGAACAGTTTGTAAGATGTGTAACACATATTTGAAAACATCTATTGGACAAACACAGTTTGTAACAGTTGGAACAAAATCTATTTGACAAAATGTGTGTGTGTCTTTGATCCTCTAGGAGTTCTGGTCCAATTGATCCCACAAAATCAAACATTGAGCTTCCAGTGTGCTAACATGTCCTAACTCAAAGTAGCTCCAGAAGAAGCCAAGCAAGCAAGGAGGTCTATTGGCCTGAGGGTCCTCACAGCAGCTTCTAGGTAGCAAGACTCCAGGGGGGTTGCTTGCATTCTTAAAACCCTCCAATCCAAGCGCTGAAAAACGAAGCAAAGCCAAGGTTCCAACTCAACACCAACATGGTGGTTTGAACACTTTGGGTTTTGTTGGGCTTGTGAATGTGTTCAAACTCTCTGTCTGGTTGATTTTTGCAGGGAAGCCTTGCGGGAATACCAAACTACCAGACTAATTGCCAAGTCCACAGTTGGTTTTCACTTGAAAAGCATGATCTCTCTGCCAGTTGCATCAGGTTCAAGGTGATGTATGATCCTCATGTTTTTTGATGCTTGCAGTGCTTCTTCAGGTTGAAACTCCTTTGGCCGGAACTTTCATGTTTCTTTTTTCATTTCTTTTCAAGAGTCTTTTCTCCTCTGAAAGAACGAACCTCTGAAGAAAATCACCACAATTCAATGTTTCTTTGGTTTTCGCACAACCCTGCGCACGTTTTTGTTTGATACTATCCTCTGTGCTTCCCCAGAAAAAATGAACACCGAGCTGTTTCGCTCCTTTTCTTGTCGCACCGGACATGCGAATCTTGGGTGTCTCCGGTGAGGTTGAGCGGTGTGACCAGCTCGCAGCGCAACAGAAGAGCTCGGAGTGCCTCGCTGGCCTCGGAGGGCATGGTGGCTCGGTCCAGCCATGGAGGGGTGCTTTTGGAAGCCCAATATGGCGAGGTGGCCTAGATTCAAGTGATCCTCCAAGAGGAATTGGGAGTGATCGAACCTGGGTTGTCTGGGTGGTCCAAAAGATCCATGGGGCGTCACTTGGGACTTCTGATTCAAGTCAAGTGTTGGATACCCTGACTGCTTGTAACAATTATAGGGAAAGGTGTTGAAGATATTGTTCCTCCCGCCTCGTGGGTGCTATGTATGTTTGAGGCTGTGCAAGCGCACATGCATGTTGAAACACGTGTTTCCCAGTTCCTAGGCATCTTTCAGTGCACCCAAGCTGCCACATTGAGGACATGTCAATAGAGTCTTCAGATTTTGACCGTTAGTGACCCAACATAAATAATAGAAGCAAAATCTGTTGTAAAAACATGATTGAAACTTGTTTTTATATCTATTTGGGGACCTCTCCACATAGCAATTATAACATGATTGATAGAAGTATATACCTTACCCATTTGACCGAATCATCTCTCCATTGGACCAAACCACGCGCTTCACCCACGGCCAAGAAGCAATGAAGACCTTTGTTTCAGGTGACGCATTGGGCCCTGCACGGTGCAACTCTTCCACCAAGTAGCGTCCTTGTTACTAGTAGTAAGGCCAGGAGCTACTAGTAGCATCCTTGC